CCGTCCCGTCCCATTCCATCCTGTTCCGTCCCGTTCTGTCCCGTTCCATTCCGTCCATCCCATTCCATCCTGTTCATCCCATTCCGTTTTGTTCCATCCCATCCTGTCCCGTTCCGTCCTGTTCCATTCCGTTCCATTCCGTCCCGTTCCATTCTGTCCTGTTCCATCCCGTTCCATCCCATTCCGTCCCGTTCCATTCCATCCTGTTCATTCCATCCTGTTCATCCCATTCCGTTTTGTTCCATTCCATTCCATCCTGTTCTGTTCCATTCCATCCCGCTCCGTCCCATCCCGTTCTGTTCCATTCCATCCTGTCCTGTTCCGTCCCATCCCACCCCATCCTGTTCCATTCCATCCCATCCCATCCTGTCCCATTCTGTTCCGTCCCGTTTTGTCCCGTTTCATCCCGTTCGTCCCGTTCCATTCCGTCCCTTTCCATCCCGTTCCATCCCGTTCCTTCCCGTTCTGTCCCATTCCGTCCCGTTCCATTCCATCCTGTTCTGTCCTGTTCCATCCCATCCTGTCCCATTCCCTTTCATCCCATTTCATCCCTTCATCCCATTCCATTCCATTCTGTCCCATTCCATTCTGTCCCATTCCATTCCGTTCCATCCCTTTCCATCCTGTCCCATTCCATCTTGTTCCATTCCATCCCGTTCTGTCCTGTTCTGTCCCATTCCGTCCCATTCCATCCTGTTCCGTTCCATTCCATTCCGTTCCATTCCATCCCATCCCGTTCCATTCCGTTCCATTCCATTTCGTTCCATCCCATCCCGTCCCGTTCCATCCCGTTCTGTTCCGTTCCATTTCATGCCGTTCTGTCCCATTCTATCCTGTCCCGTTCCATTCCATTCCATCCTGTTGTCCTGTTCCATTCCGTCCCATTCCATTCCATCCCGTTCTGTCCCATTCCATCCTGTTCCATCCCATTCCATTCCGTCCCATTCCATTCTGTCCCATTCCATCCTGTTCCGTCCCATTCCGTTCTGTCCCGTTCCATCCTCTTCCATCCCGTTCCATCCTCTTCCATCCCGTTCCATTCCATCCCATCCCATTCTGTCCTGTTCCATTCCATCTCGTCCCATTCCATCCTGTTGTCCCGTTCTGTCCCGTTCCATTCCATCCCATCCCATTCCATCCCGTTCCCTCCCATCCTATTCCATCCCGTTCCGTTCCGTCCCATTCTGTTCCATCCCATTCCGTCCCATTGCATCCCATTCTGTCCCATCCCATTCCATCCCATTCCGTTCCATCCTGTTCCATTCTATCCTATCCCATCCCATCCCATCCCGTCCGTCCCATTCCATTCTGTCCCATTCCATCCTGTTCCGTCCCATTCCGTTCTGTCCCGTTCCATCCTCTTCCATCCCGTTCCATTCCATCCCATCCCATTCTGTCCTGTTCCATTCCATCTCGTCCCATTCCATCCTGTTGTCCCGTTCTGTCCCGTTCCATTCCATCCCATCCCATTCCATCCCGTTCCCTCCCATCCTATTCCATCCCGTTCCGTTCCGTCCCATTCTGTTCCATCCCATTCCGTCCCATTGCATCCCATTCTGTCCCATCCCATTCCATCCCATTCCGTTCCATCCTGTTCCATTCTATCCTATCCCATCCCATCCCATCCCGTTCCATCCCGTTCCATCCCATCCCGTTCCATCCCATTCAATTCTGTCCCGTCCCATTCCATCTCATTCTGTCCCGTCTCGTTCCATTCCATCCTATCCCATCCCATCCCATTCTGTCCCGTTCCATCCTGTTCCGTTCCGTCCCATCCCGTTCCATTCTGTCCTGTCCTGTTCCGTCCCATCCTGTTCTGTTCCGTTCTATCCCGTTCTGTCCTGTTCCATCCCATTCTGTTCCATCCCGTTCTGTCCCATCCTATTCCATCCCATCCCATCTTGTCCCATTCCATCCTGTTCCATCCCATCCTGTCCCGTTCCATCCCATCCCATCCTGTCCCATTCCATCCTGTTCCATCCCGTCCTGTCCCGTTCCATCCCATCCCATCCTGTTCCATCCCGTCCCGTCCCGTTCCGTCCCGTCCCGTTCCGTCCCATCCTGTCCCATTCCGTCCCGTTCCATCCTGTTCCATTCCATTCCAGCCCGTTCCATTCCATCCTGTCCATCCCATTCCGTCCCATCCCGTTCTGTTCCGTCCCCGTCCCCTCCCATCCCGTTCATGCCATTCCCTCCCGTTCCAGGTCACCGGTGCCCGCCCCCCCCGACCCCCCCCCGAGCTCCCAGGCCGGGCTCCTCAGCACCAAACCCGACTACGGCCGCATCCTGGAGGCGCAGGGGGAGGCGCTGAGCTCGGTGGAGCTGGCGGTGAGCGGCCAAAACACCCCCCTCCCCCCTCCCGGTAACCGGTTAAACCGGATTTTTCACTTTATTTTTACCATTTTTGGGTTTTTTGGTAGCTCGACGAGCTCCAACAAGCGGCCAATCTGGTGCAGGCTTTCAGCGAGGACAGCCGGCGGTTCTTACAGCGCCTCTCGCAGCAGCTCGGTGAGACGGAGCCCACCGGGAACCGGGGAGGGAGGGGGGGGGGGTT